AAAGGGTGAACACAACGGTTCTTGTTCTTGAATTTCTCGTTTGCTGACGGGGTTCGATGCAAATCTCACAGGTGAAGCTTGAATCACATCATCTTCTTCTTGAGTTTCTTGTTGAGGATTCTCTCCGTTTTGGGTTGGTTTTTGCAGTGAGTTTCCCATATGAAATTTATTCACTTTCCTTTTTATTATCTGAAATGTTTTCCTTTAGAGAATTTGTTTTAGTTTAGGAGAAGTAAGATCCCTTTTATTTCAATAAAAAATTCTTCATGTCAATCTCTCAAGATTTCTTCTGATATAAGGACAGTAATGAGGCACACATTAAATTTGTGAAAGCCTGGCTTAAGCCAACCCGCACTCAACTCACACACAATAAAATTGTGAAACAATATTTTAATTTCTTTACCAAAAACTGCTGCCAAACAGGATCCAAAATCGAGGGAAATTTTAGTTAACTAAAGTCTATACTGAAGCAATTAAGGATTTTCTGTTGCTTCAGTTGAATGTATGCTGTTTAAAAAGGGACAGAGTCTAATCTGCGGCTATTCAGCAACAATCCATTTTGCAGGACCAAAAAAAAATCCAAGCTACTGTAAGTAATGCAGCTAATACTCCGATTACAACAAATTAGATAATCCCGAGGGTTGGAAGGGATCGCGCGGCCGCATTCACATGTAACTCTCCCAGTCTGGCATCTGAAACAAAATATAGTCTTGTTAGATCTTTTTTTTTTTTTTTTTTTTTTTTTTTTTTTTTTTTTTTTTTTTCTTTTTAAGAGACTGGGAAAGACTCAAAAAAACAAAACTCAAACACCAAATTTTTTGTTACAAAAAAGATATAATATCAGGAGGAGCATCCTCAATTCAAATAATAGACTCAAACAAAGATAGAGATAATCGAGCAATTTCATGAACTACAACATTTGTTTCAATAGAAACATAAGAAATTGACGACACTTGTGTTAAAAAGAAAAAAAGAAAAAAAAGATCATCAACATCATCAATAATCGTACCAACTTCTGATTTAGGGCTCTTCTCATTTTGTAACATATGAACTATTCCTAAAGCATCCAACTCAAACCGAAAAATTAAATTTTCTTGAGACGTCTAATATATATGTACAAAAGTAATTCTCTACTCAGTACGATCACATTAATAAACTAAATTATAAGATTTTAAATAGAATCACGTTTAGTATTTGTTCCTTAATTTAACTGTTTTACTGTGACGCAAAAATATTAAAAACAATATTTCAAACATTTTTTTTTTTTTTTTTGCATAACAAAATTAAAAAATCAAATCAACTTTACAAATTTTCCGTATTGTATTTTTATTTATATATAAATATATAGAAATTAAGAAAAAAACAATACCTGCAATGGATTAAATCACAGCCCTTTATGCGCTCAAGTCTCAACAAAGTATCCACAACGAGGGCACTTAATCCATGCTTTGCTCTCCACAAGCTGCCAAAACAAAATATCATTCCGATCCCTCGGACTTCTACTTTCTTCACATCCATACCCTGCATGCCATGCCAACTTACACTGAAAACAAAACAATCGCTTACAGTTTGGACACTTACTCTTCTTCATATCCCCACCACACTCGTTCACCACAACCTCCATACAATTCGTATCAGGGCAATAGCTCCTTTCAAACCCTAGAACATAATTATCGCAGAGAAGATCACACCACTTTGAAAAAACACTTTGTGAGATTATAGCTCTACACGAGAGAGGATCTAAAACTTGTTGGCAGTTCAAACCGGGGCATTGAATATTTGCCGTATGATCTTCGATCTTGAATTCGATATATTTGGCTATGCAGTCTAGACAGAAAGGGTGACCACAAAGGTTCTTGCTCTTGAATTTCTTATTTGTGGACATGGGTTCGATGTGTTAGAGTTGTCGACTACTTCAGCATTAATGGGTAATGCAGACACATTCACGAGTCTCGCTGACCGGTCAGCAGGCGGGTGCCCCGCTCCTCAGTGAGCGGGTGGGGGTCACGGGCGCAGCGTCCCCAAGCCCCTAAGCGGTTTTGGGCTTTTCCATGTATAATCGCTGTAGGATTTCTTTTAAGTTACTAATTCCTTATTGAGTTGTGCTTAGGAATAGGAATCCTTGTAAAACTAGGTTTAGTCTATTAAACCTAGTATATAAACATACTTTTCTCTTGTTATGGTAATGATAGCAAATCATAGGGTAATTCATTCATTGTAAACGAGAGAGGTGAGGCATATTGTAATAATATTGACTCAGCTGGACGTAGCCCACATTGGGTGAACCAGGGTACATCGCGCGTGTTATTTTCTTTGTTTATTATTTGATTTGTTTTACTGTTATATTTTGTTCCTATTGTTGCCTCTATTTCGTTCACGATGCAAATCTCACAGGTGAAGCTTCCATTAGTATCTGCTTCTTGTGTTTCTTGTTGGAGATTCTCTCGGTTTTCACTTGGTTTTTGCAGTGAGTTTCCCATGGTAATCTTATGGAATTTTTCGCCGCTAACTTGTTATTTTCTAAGAATCATTAGGTATTTATAGGGCTCTTACTTTGTTTTCTGAATACATCAGGATATCTATTCGGTTTAGGAATACATAAATTATCTTAAATTTCGGACTAGAACTTCTTTTTATCCTAACCCAAGTCTGATTTTTTTGTTTGACTAGGATTAAAAATTATATTTATCACTTGATACTTAACATCGTGACGCAGTTGCTAATTGAGCCGTTTCTTCATTTTCCGATGCTCAAGAGTCAAGACAGAAAATTGTAGTAATTAATATATAATGCACCCCAAATCGAAGGAAATTGTTTTATTAAACTCAATCGTGAAGCAAAGACTTTCTGTAGTTTGATCAGTAGAATGCTTGCTGTTTTAAAGAGAGACAGACTATAATTTTGCTTAACCTTTTCTCAATTCAATTCAAGAAATTATTTACAAGGGCTCGAAATAAAGAAAAAGAGTTAGTAAAATAATTAGAACCACTGAGCTCATCAGCAGCCAATAAAAATCACGCCGATAGCCGCGGCATTCGCATTCCCTTATAGCTTTCCCACATTCATAGCAAAACTCAGTCCGGCATCTGAAAGAAAAAGAAGAAAAAAGAAAGTATGTCTCGTTAATATTTGTTACTGTTAAATGAAGACAGACAGACGAGTTTATATGTATAAAAGATAAGGAGCAGAGAAATTAGAGAAAAAACAAAACCTGCATTTGATGGAATTACAGCCTTTTATGCGCTCAACAAAGTATCCACAACCAGGACACTTGATCCATGCTTTTCTTTTCACCAGTTGCAAAAATAAAGTATCATTCGGGTCCCTAATACTTCTACTTTCTTCACATCTCAAACCCGCATGCCATGCCGACGTGCACTGAAAACAAAACAGTTTCTTACAATTTGGACATGTAGTTTTCTTCACATTCCCACCACACTCATTCACCACCAACTCCCCGCAATTCCTATTAGGGCAATAGCCTCTTTCAAACCCTAGAACATAATTATCTCAGAGAATTTCACACCACTTTGAAAAAACACTTTGTGAGATTATCGCTCTGCACGAGAGAGGATCTAAAACTCGTTTGCAGTTCAATCCTGGGCATTGAACGCTTGCTATGTGATCTTCGATCTTGAGTTCGATGTATTTGGCTATGCATTCTTTACAAAAGGAATGAGCACAATGGTTCTTGTTCTTGAATTTCTTGTTTGTCAAGACGGGTTCGATGCAAATCTCGCAAGTAAAGCTTGCATTAGCGTCTTCTTCCTGTGATTCTAGTAGAGGATCTTCAAGGTTTTTGCTAGGTTTTTTCAGGTAGTTTCCCATGGTTGTTTTAATGGAGTTTTACAACAATCTTAAGTATATTAATTTGGTTACTTTTATCTCAAGTAATTGCTCGATCAAATCCTTAAGTTTGTAGGAAAAATTAACAGTTTTTCGTTTATTATTCTGATTTACTGTCCTTTAATTAGATTTATTTCTTTTAGTTCAAGAAAAGTAAGATGCCTTTTATGTCCACTAAATTTAAAAATAAAAAAAAATAAAAAATTCTCTTTCCATTTTCAAAATTGAAATAATACTGACTTTGAAAGTAGAAAGAGGATTGTATTAATGTATTTATAGACTAACATACAGAACCGAATATTATGTTAAGTAAATGTTGAATCCAAAACTTTAAGTTATCAAATAAGGGTTTAATATTTATTATTTAAGTATAACATCATCCCCTAAGAGTTCAATATTAATATTTAAACATAACGTTATTAAGTAAGAGTTCAATATTTGATCCATGGTTTATAATTAGTTTGTCACAGGCCTAAACCAAGCCCACATGATAATAATGTTTTACTGTAATTTTTTGGTATGATTAAAATTTGAACCCTAAAAACTAAAACCCTCTCTACGAAACATAAACTTATTCTGTGTATATAAAGGTAGAACATATATATATGGTTCCATTATATTCATGAATTACTGGACTTGGCATATATCTTGTTAACAATTAATTTTATATTTTTCTTAACTTCATTCTATTTATGATGATGTGTTTTATTTTATGTAGAAATAGTTTTGTACATAACGACTTCATCTTCAGTACTGATACGTATACATGCAGTATTTTGATAAATTCTTCATAATATTTAAACAATTTATCTCATCAAAATGAGAGAAACAAAGATAAAGTCTATAAACCACGCTTGGGTGGTCTAGTGATTAGACAATAACTCTTGGGTATATTAGTGAAGATGTCATGAATTTAAGTTACTTAGTCTCTAATTGGGATAATTACTGAAAGGTACATCCGGTCGTTAACTTCAGGATCTTAGGAGATTAATTGTGGTGCGTCCAAACACTCCTGTCACCAAAATATATATATATATATATATGGTAACACATCCAGAGTAGCAAGTCATGTAACTATTAAATTTACATTCAACGTAAAAATAAAAGAAAGAAAAAAAGAATTGATCCGGAAAATTTATTACTAACTATTATTCTCAAATTAAAGCAATACTACTTCAAGGTTAATATAAGAGGGATTTGATCCCAAAAATTCTTTCTTCCACTATCAGAGATTTAATCAAGTAATCCCTTTCACAAACATATAATAAAATAATAAAATGACTAATCCTAAAATGGTAGCTATATAACCCTCATGTACAATATGTAAAACATTATATTTACTGCACTTACATCTATATGACGATGCAGCTACAAGCTCTTTCCCACATTTATAGCAAAGATGAGTGTTACATCTGCATTCCAAAAATAAATTAAATATAACAGATAGGAAAATTAATTGAAATACCCTTCTTATTGAATGCAGGGTTAGCAAATCAAATTATCTGTTGATGAGCTGAAATTTCATCTAAACTTCGTCCCTAATTTCAGCTCACAAGATTGGTATGTTTTTTCATCAGTACCTATATGTAAGCTCTCTTCAAGCATTTTTACCAAACAAATTTTCACAAGATTGATTAGTAAATTAAGTTCTCATGTTTTGTATGCCTAATTTATAAAGAATTAGTATACAGGCAAATAATTGATAGGTTTAGTTAAAGAGTGAATGACTTTTTCCCACCCGAGATTTGCCTTAATGACTTTTTACTCAAAAAGTTTCAAAATACCATTCTTTCACCCAAAGTTTATAATCCGTTAATATTCAAAACACATTTCACTTTCTCGGCCAATGTTCGATGAGTTACCAAAACGCAAGGTAAGAGGGGTTTTATAGAGTGAAGGCTGATGGATCGAATGGTGATGATCGATTGAATATTCACTGCCGGAATCAGCTAAGAACAAGAAATTGTAGCTTTGCGGTTGCCGGCAATCAGCGAGAAATCAGTATCAAAGTAAGCGGGTTTTTGTAGAGAGGGAACCTGAGGTTCAAATGGTGGTGACCGAGAGAATTTCCGCTGCCGGAATTGACTTTAGGTAGTGATGGAATATTAACTTTGGGTAGAAAAGTGGTATTTTGAAACTTTTTGGGTAGAAAGTCATTAAGGCAAACCTTGGGTGGGAAAAAGTCGTTTACTCTTCAGTTAAATCTATAATAAGTTTATCTCGATCCCAAGTCTTATGCAATCTCAAGAGATCTAACCAGTTAAATTAGTTAATAAAGTTGAACTAATAATGTAATATGATATAATTACAACGGGAGGAGGATTAGATTAAAACCTGCATGTGATAACGAAACAGCCATCTCTGTGTTCAATACAGTGTCCACAACCAGGACACTGAATCCATGCTTTCTTCTCAACAAGCTGCCCAAACAAAATATCGTTCTCGTCCCTCATATTTCTACCTTCTTCACATCCATACCCTGCATGCCATGCCACCTTACACTCAAAACAAAATAATTCCTCACAATTTGGACATTTACTTTTCTTCAAATTCTCACCACACTCATTCACCACCAACTCCCTGCAATTCCTATTTGGGCAATAGCTCCTTTCAAACCCTAGAATGTAATTATCACAAAGAACATCGCACCACTTTGAGAAAATACTTTGTGGAATAATTTCTCTGCAAGAAATAGGATCTAAAACTTGCTGACAATTCAATCCTGGGCATTTTATCTTCGCTGTGTTATCTGTGATCTTCGTTTCAATATATTTGGCAATGCAGATTACACAAAAATGGTGAACGCAATGGTTATTGTTCTTGAATTTCTTGTTCTCGGATATAGATTCAACACAAACCTCACAAATGAAACTTCCTGTTGTTGCATTAACTTCTTCTTCTTCTTCTTCTTCTAGTTCTTCTTGCCGTGGGTCTTCCATGGCTAGCGGTAATCTTAGGGTTTTTGTAACTCTCGCTTGTGTTTTAAGTATCACGTGATTCTTTTATGGGCTGTTCATATACAAATACTATAATATAAGATGGAGATCACTCTTTTATTTATCAAAGGACCTTAGAGGTGTACCTAATTAAGACGGATGTCTTTTCACAATTAAAGAGGATTAATTAGTTTGAACTTGTTGAAGTTTTGCTTTAATCATAATTTTTCGCTCTTACATATTTGTGAAACACTGGGTTTCTTTTTCTAAGAAAATTCAATTTGTATTGATTTTCTATTATTTGAGTACTACTCTAAATGAGATAAGGAGTCGTCCAGGCATTCCCCTTCCAGTAGTGTATGATTCTACCATCTCTCCATCTCATCAAGAGCATTGCTGATGAAAGTGGGGTTTCGTATCCGTCTTCAAGCCACATGATGGTGTCCCTCAACCAACATGTGAAAATGGAGAAATAGTGAGGACCCTCCTTCTTGTTTGGTTTTTGATCTTGACCATTATTGTTCACTTTTGGGATTAAGAAACAGTGAGAAAATGATAATACTAATTCGCAATATCAAAGTTGAAAATGATAACACAGATCAGCAATGCTAACTTGTTGAGCAAAATTATGTTGCTTGGATCAAAACTAAGAGTTTGTCAAGAATGCATCAGATGCTTATCTGCCATGCTTCTAAGAATACAAATTCCATTGCTAAACGATTTTACTTAGCTTATGATTGTGATTCACCTATCAAAAAATCCGGTTCATACGAGGATGAGAGAGCTTCAATGTCAAAACATAAATTAGCTACATGATATCATTTGGCATTTGACATTTGACATTTGATTCTTGAGCTTGACGTTAAGGTAATATCAAAGTATGCACGCAACAACTAAGAAGAAAGCTTTTTCAGTAGTTGACAAACATTATCCAAGAAGCAATGCAAGTAATGTACGAAGAAAAGCTATTACCGGTGAAATAATGTACCCTCGGTAAAAGAACCATAAATCAAGTGACATTAGATAGAAAGACCTTCAAGAGATGGTAACCTGACCTGGTCAGCGAAAGGAAACGCTTGACTTCAAGCTGTTTTACTTCTTCATCTCTGAAATGCTAAACAATATACTGATGAGTAGAAAGACAAATAAACAGTAAGATTACACTTGTGTAGATTGAGAAGGGATAAGGAATGAAAGATTATTCAGGAACCAAGTTCAGAAAAGGACAAACAAATGATATTCTCAACAGAGGTTAAAATGAGGTGAAACAGGAAATTAGTAATGCAATTACCTATAGCTCTTTGCTTGATAAAATATTTGACTGAAAAGACACATAGGATATGGGCAAGAATCTGATGGAATTTATAGCCAACATTAAAATTTTCATCATCAGCTAAATTAGTACATGTAATCTGTGATCACATTAACTAAAATGAGTGGCTGCTCAAGGTTTTCATATCTGGGGTCAACATCATAGTCCTGTTAGATTGAAGATTAAAAAAAAAATTTAACAAACCATTGTAACTTACCTGAAAACCAATAGGAGGTTTAGGGCCTTCACCAACTTTTATATCCTTGTACTGCAAACCAGAGTCGGTAGTCACCATCGGTACCTTCAATACACAGAGTTGCTCGGGTACTTAGTACTAGAAATAATCTTTCAAAATATTATAATAAATATAACCCAGAAGTCATTATCTACTAAATGCTTCATTTACATCTAAAACCAGAAATAATTTATCCACAGTTTGATCGTGAAAAAAGCATGACCAACATTCAAATAACATAGCAGTACATGTAAGCGATGAACAGAGAGTAGCCAATTACTCAACAAAGAATAGCATATCAGTTAAGATTAAACTCAGTACACATGCATAAAATTATATTGAAATCAAATGTTTTAAAAAAGACTTGACATTGCTGTTGGAGAATTTCATTAGATGTAACATAATTCTTCTGGTAGCTCTCATGTAAAACAAAGAGAGCGCAATCAAAAGGTAATAGAAATTTATCGATCCATTAAAACTGATGTTGAGCTCAGTTTCAACATGTCTGCAGGTTAATGATAACATCAAACTCCCAAAATCAGGAAACTACTTTACAGCATTGAAGAGGCAAAAAGAAAGAAGATGCACAGATAAGGGGCATTGNGATTTTAAAAAAGACTTGACATTGCTGTTGGAGAATTTCATTAGATGTAACATAATTCTTCTGGTAGCTCTCATGTAAAACAAAGAGAGCGCAATCAAAAGGTAATAGAAATTTATCGATCCATTAAAACTGATGTTGAGCTCAGTTTCAACATGTCTGCAGGTTAATGATAACATCAAACTCCTAAAATCAGGAAACTACTTTACAGCATTGAAGAGGCAAAAAGAAAGAAGATGCATGCACAGATAAGGGGCATTGCAATCTCACCATACATTTTCAAGCTCTTTCTCGCATATCTGATCACATAGTCTTGGTTTTTCCTCAGGAGGCAAGCCGGCTGCTTTGGCCTCAACTGACTCCAAAAGGAGGCTTGAAACTCCCAAAACCAGGCCAATAACCTCCCTCCGCTTAATGAAATTCATCTCATCGCCATATACTCTAGTCCCTGAAGCTCTGACTCCAAGTTTCATGTTCCAGCACCGCGCAAACACACCTCGAACCTTGTCACAGGAAACACCATGACAACAAGTAGACAGAGTTTTGCCAGAACCAGAACCTAACACCATGTAAACCACCAAGGCAACATATATTTAAAAGCAACAAAATCAAAATTCAAGCAAACCAATATGCAATTTTACAAAATTAATTGTTTAACACTCCTTTGAACAACCCCAAAAGGCAACAAAACAGAGGGGTAACATAAGCATGATAAATCAATAGAGCTGCAACTTTTAACAAGAGAATCAAAGACGAAACAAAAAGGGCAACTTTTATAAGAATCCCAGCAAATCCCTCCATTTTTAACACAAATACTTAACATATTCCATAAGAAAGCAAGAGACTAAGCGAAACACGAACCCAGAAAATATTTTTGTAAGCTTCATCATTAATGGATCAGAATTGCATTAAAAAAGTTTCTTGTTCTGAAGAACACGCGAATTGTAGCTTCAGAAAAGCATATTCGAGTGCACAGAAAAGGCGAAATTTGATGAAGAAAAGAGAAATTTAAGAGCTTTACCAAGTGGAAGAAGCAGAGAAGAAGGAGAGAGAGCCATTTGCAAGTGAAGAGTTTTGAAAGTGGATAACGAAATCCTGCTGTCTTTGTCTTTTTATTTCTTGTTGCTGACTTGGCCACTTCCCTCTCGTGGAAGCAGGGGTGTAAAAATCAAAACTCAAACTTAAGCAATGTCTATACACCCTGACGTTTATTTCAATAACGTTCCTCCTAAAATCTTAGAAATAACATAAATCTCCCTATTATTAGTAAGTCGATTTATGATATAATGCGTTAATAAATATTTACCTAATTGTCCCTTCGTCGCTTATTTTAACACCAAAAAATTAATGACAAAGATTGGTGTCATTACTATAACTATAAGGATTTGTCACTCAATTATACTTAAAAGAGGGATTGTTGTTATTAATAACTAGAGTAAACGACATGTTCCCACCAAAAAAATGGTTTATTGATAAATTTATACCCACCCACTTTTTAAATACCCTTTCAGTACCCACAACACAACTTTTTTTAGTAATTTTCGTTGTAAGGAATGGTAAAATGGTCAAAAGTTCATTATTGGTGAGGGCAATATGGTCAACAAACATTTGGCTAAAATAAAAATTTTAAAATAACTCTCTACATCTCAAATTTCTCAACAGCACCCCTGACCTCCCTCGCGGCTGTTGGATTTCGACGTCGTTGGACATCACTTACACCACCACTAGCTTCCCCCACTCGTCCTCAGCAAAACCCATCCATCCCCTAGTCTCTTCTACCTCTATATTGGCCAGATTTGAGCAATTTTCCCTCCCTTGCAGTTGTCGGAAAAATCAAGATCTAGTCGGATTCCAACGTCATTGGACATCACTACCACTGCCACTAGCTTCCCCCACTCATCACCAACAAAACCCATCCATCCCCCAGCCTCATTCACCTCCATTTTGGTCGGATCTAAGCCTTTTCTCCATGATTTTCCCCTCCTTCACGGTTGGTAAAAAAATCCAAATCTAGCCTATTTCTGGCGCCGTTGGACATCACCACCACCACCACTAGATTCCCCAATTCATCCTTAGCAAAACCCATCCATCCCCAAGCCTCGTCTACCTCCATTTTGGTTGGATCAAAGTGATTATCCCTGCCTTGCGGCAGTCGAAAAAATCAAGATATATTGGGGTTAAAATGTAATTTATTAATGTATTTGTGTGTCCAAGTCTAAATGAAACCAAGGGTTTTTTAGTAAATCATTTTGTTTTCCACCCAAATCAGTTGAAAACCTAATATTTGTGTAATAAAAATGTATTTTAAAAGTTTGAGGGTAGAAAAGTATCAATGGGCCATTTTTTTGAGTGGGAACATGTCGTTAACTCTAATAACTATAATACTATCTTATAGTATTGAAACAAGTTAGAAACATAGAACTCATTTTACATTCATTTAATAATATCATGTCATGCATATATTTACTTGACTACAAGTCTATAATATGATTGATTGATTTCTATCCTAAGGGCCTATAAAACTCACTGGTGTTAGCTATATCTTAGAGTCTTATGTTTAAGTCGCTAAGAGAGATATATATTACAATTGTGTAATTATCTGGGTTCATTAAGCTTGTAAGGTGTTATGTGATCCTGAAGATTAAGCGGATTGGACTAGCAATTATACCCAGATATCTCAGTTATTAAAAAAAAAAAAAAATGATATTAGAATAATAGTACGCTAATGAAGACTCCATATGATAATAATATCATAATAAATATATTGCAATTACATAAGACATATCATTATCTCAAAGATCATAAAATATCAAATCAGTCGTTCACATTAATTTAAACTATATAATTAAAAATGAAATTTATAAATGTTATATTATTTAACAAAATTCATAAATAAGGTGATAAATCCAATTTAAATCGACCTAAATTTTTTTCATAATTCGCATTTCACAATTAAATCTTCCCAAAATTAATTTTCATAACCCTTCTATTAAAATCTCCTCATCCCCAACGTAAATTTGTTTATTGAAAATAAAAAACTGCACTTGTTACGTGGCTTGATCTCATTGGCTAGATATCAACATTTCCACTCGCAAGTGACCCAATTGTTCCTCTAAAAATTGCATTAATTTCACATCCAATATAAAAACTCCCCCGTGCTACCTTCCAGCATCAGCTCCGAAGAGTCCTTCGAAAAACCCTAAACCTAGGTTCGTTCTCAGTCTTCTCTTCCATTTACGGGCCAGTTTATTAAAAGACATTTGGAGTTAAAATTTAATTAAAAGTTATGTAGTTTGGAAATGTTAACTAAATAGCCTTATTTTTATTAAGCTTAATTAAATATGATTAGGGGTTAATTAGGATTAATGAATAATTGTGTAATCTTTTAAAAATTATAATATGTCTCCAAAGAGTCAAAAATCTTGCAAACAAACCCAAACACCTTCTTCTTCTTCCTCCCACGACGTTAACGCATTCCTCCGCCATTAACATCTTCTCCAACACAGATCATCCTCCTCCTCCTCCTGAAATTTCGTCCAAGTATGTGTATCTCCCTTTCGATTTACAAAAATCTGGGTTATGATTTTGATTTAGCATGGATTGGGTTTGGGTTATGATTTTGATTTAGTTGTTTAGGTTGTTGGGCTGTGTTTGATGTAATGGAAGTTGAAAGGAGTGAAATATGTTGAAAATTTTTTCTGGGTATGTGTTATGGGTATGATGGATCGATTGTAGGTGGAGATGACTGAAACTGTGTTCTAGGTATGATGGATTGGTTAAGCGATCTGGTAGGTCTGGTAATACGGCAGATAGATCGCTTAAGCGATCAGGTATGTGGCATAAGATCGCTTAAGCGATCTGGTAAAAGTCTAGTGTATAGAAGCGGATCGCTTACGTGATCAGTAAATGGCGTAAGATCACTTATGATCGCTTAAGCGATACAGTAGACCATATAAGCGACTGTGCAGATTCTTTTTAAAATATTTGAACCATTAGTACAACATTTAAGAATATTTTATTTCTTGCATTATATGTAGTTGGCTATTATTACACATGGGACAAGTTGTTTTGGGTGTTGAATATTTTTGTGAGTGGGTGGAGGAAGAAAGTAGCTGGAAGTGGATTGGGAAGAGCAAAGAAGTTATACCAATTGTTGTGAGCATAGAGGTTAGTTTTGATGAGTTGATTGATGAAATAATTAAAAGAGGTGATTTGAGTTGCTCGCGTAGTGATATAGTTGTGAAGTATGTTGTAAGCAGAGTTCCTGAATATTATAAGGTACCTCCTACTATATTAAAGTCCGATGAAAGTGTGAAATTATATATGATTGATGTGGCCGATAATGGTTCGAGGCCGATTTTAAGAGTTTCTTTTGTAGAAAAACCGTTGGAAGTTTGTTTAAAGGAATGGGATAATGAGGAAGCAGGCGGAGATTTGCCTAGTTTTAATTTGAACAACGAGACCATTGATTTGTTAGTTGAAAAATCAAGAGTAGAGGTGAATTTGGTGGTGAGGAGGACACTGTAGAAGAGGTTGGTGATGGGGGGCAGAATGAAAATGTTGAGGAGGAGGACCCCGTACATGTTCCCACAGATGTAGAGATTCCTTTAAATACAGATTATGCAGAAGGCGTAGATTGTGATGCGTGTTTACTACAACATGCAAAGAATAGCAAGTGCACTAGTCGCAAAAAGTAATAAAGTGATGGGTAGGATATCGTTCCCACGAGGACTGTAGCAAAGCACTAAGTTTCCTACGTTATCAAGTTGAAGAAATCGAATTCTTTGGATTGGTGGGATCAATTTGTAATGAAAAATAAAACAAAAATGAAAGTAAACAGAGAATTAAATCTTAACTAAGAAAACAAAACGACACACAGAATATCAATTCTAGTAAAACGGGTAGGGTTTTGACTTCGTTTGGACTTGTATGGGTTAAACCGAAGAGTTACACTATTTTCACATTCATGTGCAATGGTTGTAAATCGGATTCACTAATATGTTAACATACCCTCTCGGGCTATGTTTGCCTATTCATCCTTATTAACATTCCGCACCTAACAATTTGAAGGTTAATAATTCTAAATTCATTAAGCACAAGAATCCTAATTTGATTTCATTAATTCTTGAATCTATCTCTAGCATCCAATACTAAAATGGTGATTACCCAAGAAGCTTAACATGAATTATTTCTCAATCTCATCATGTTCATCACATACAGCATTTAATTCCAGAGTAACACACAACCAAAGCTTATTCACATGGAAATAACACAATCAAATACTTAACCCATTTCAAATCCAAACTACAATCAAAACCCTAACCCATAGAAGATTAGTTCATAGCTAAATTAACAATACAAAAACGAAAAATAGAAATAAACAAGTTAAACATAATGAAACTGAGATGAAAGATAAGAAATCTCCCCAAAAGATGAATCTTCTAGTCAAAATCTGAATCTTCCCTTTTACAATCCGAAAAACTCAAGCTTTTTCTCTAAGGAAAATGTAAAAGACGGCTAAACCTAACAGCGCAAGCTCCCTTCGCAAAAAGTTAAGTTTTTCTTTTATACTTAGTCCAAAAACCCAGCCAAAAACACGCACACACGAAACTGTGCGTTTACAAAACTGAATAATTTGACTGTCGCCGCGGCGAAGAATGGAAAATTCCAAATCGTCTCTGCCTAACTTCGCCGCGGCGAAGACAATTTCTTCGCCGGGGCGAAGCTCCTTCAAAAGTTCTGAAATTTACAGAACTGCCACTCTGCTTGCCTCTTCGTTCGATTCTTCGATTTTCGGCTCTCTACCTTGGAAACAAGCTTCATCATGCGTTGTCCTGCTCCGGAACTCTCCTATCTTCTGAAATCCGCTCAATTCTGAGTCAAAACTATCCAATTTTGTCTTTATTCGCTCAAAAAGTCCATTTTAACCTGAAACACGAAAAGTAAAGAATTAAGCACCAATTCAGGTAAAAATGCACTAGAAAGTACCTGAAATCCGACAAAAAGATCAAATAAAAACTGTATAATTTACGGATTATCAGATTGTGAGGAAGAGAACACTATGGTCGTT